TTTTAGCCCACCGGGTCCAGGACGCGAACCGCGGTCGACCACGTGGGAGTCCAGCGACATAGCCATTACGCTAACTGCTGGTTCCCAAAAATAATTCTTTTTTAAAAAAAAAAAAAATTTTGTAAATCTGGAAGCAGTTTTTTGGATAGAGGCAAAAGAAGAACATTTGTAGATCAGTTTCTCCACACTAACAGTCCCTAACCTCACGACATTCATTTGTCTTGTTTACCTGTTACCACAGCATCTGCTACAAAGCTGACACAGAGCACATTTCAGCAAATATTAATTGAAAAATCAATTATAAATATTAGGAAGTGTGATGATGTATCCTTTGAAATTAATCAATCATCCTACAGTTTCTAAAGTTTGAAATTACTTTTTATTTATCTTAAAAAAATTTTTTTTGGAGAAGTTTTTGCTATAGAGCGCGTGTGCTCCCCAGAAAGACAGAGAGAGACAAAAAGCAAGAAATCATCCCCCAGGGGGGATGGCCATGTGGCAATCCCTTCTTCTCCATTCTCCTCTTGGGATTCTGGGCATGTACACAAATGTGCCCAGTGTGAATTTTAAGCCACCAGGTCCAGGACCCGAACCATGGTCAACTACATGGCAGTCCAGCAACATAGCCATTACGCCAAGTTCTGGTCCCTTTAAAAAAATTTTTAAAGAATCATTTAATTTAAATTTATTTGTTTGTTTCTTTGTTTATTTTAATTTGACCAGAGAGGAAGAGAGTGAGAGAGGGGGAAACTGAGAAAGCCAGCCGCCAGGTCCAGGATGCGAACTACAGTCAGCCACGTGGCAGTCCAGCACCCTCAACCACCACACCACCTGCCAACCCCCCACCTTTTTTTAACTAGAGGGATCATGTGCTATGTGGGATCCAGCTGCCTTAGTCACCAAGCCAAGGAGCTAGCTTGAAAGCACATTTAAAAAAAAAGGGGGGGGGAGACCAAGCATGCATTTTCTGCTTTTCACAGAAAGTTTTCAGAACTTGAGCCAAATACATTATATTATGGGATCTAAAGCGAGTACATTTGGTGTCTTGAGTTTCACCACTGTAAAACAATAAAACACATACTTGCCATTGCTTCCTTGGCATTCTGATCTTTAAACAGGAGTGTGCCTTCAAATTAGGAGGGGTTTAGCTCAGGCCATCATTACCAACAGGTAGAAAGTAGCTATATGTCTTCTCCTACAAAAAAAAGAAAGTAATATCATTTTATTATTCTAGATATAATTTAGCCTTAGTCAGGAAATTTTAGTTTATGCCTTAGCTTTTTAAAAATAATTTAATTGTGAAAAAAAATTATGTCTTCATAGATATTCTAAAGGAGCTATCTAGATGCCAAATCTAATACTGGTAAGAAACATGAAAGTTAAAACTACACATGAAAAAAGTCCATTTATATTATACAGAACAACCAAGTAACTACTAGATGATTTTCAATAAAATTTTAAAATGTATACATATACAGCCTATACTGTGAAAATTGAGACATAGCAACTGGGAGTTCTTTATTATTTTTTTAGGGAGATTTTTGCTACAGGGCACGTGCATTTTCTAGAGAGACAGAAAACAAGAAATCACTCCCCAGAAGGTATGGCCACCCCTTCTCCTCTGTTCTCCTCTTGGGGCTGTGGGTACACATGCACATGTGCCTGGCATGAGCTTTAAGCTGCTGGGTCCAGGACTTGAACTGTGGTCGACTACAAGGGAGTCCAGTGATATAAACATTACTGGACTAATTTTAAAGAACTTCTGCTGATCCCAGAAGTTCTTTAAAATTAGTGCAAAATATTATGAAAGACAGCTCAGTTTAATTTACTAGGAGAAGAAAGGAATTTGAGGGGACTTCAAAAACACTCAGGAAACATAGAATTCAAGTACAAGTTTATCTTGGTCTAAAAATTTTTGAAATCCATTGACACTTTTTTTTAAGATAGATTTTTGCTATTGGATGTGTGCGCTTGCCAGAGAGACAGCGAGAAATCACCCCCCTAAGGGGCATGGCCACACCTCCTCCAGTCTCCTCTTGGGATTTTGGGTACGCATGCACACACGCCTAGGTCTGGGACTCAAACTGTGGTCAACTATGTGGGAGTCCAGCGACATAACCATTATGCCATCTGCTGGTACCACATTAATATTTTTTCAAATTATGTTATTTCCCATGGGTTTACGAAACCCTTTTGCTCTGGATTGTCAGAAAAGTCATGATGCATTTTTACATACCGACAACCCAATATATGCTATGTGTTTGCACATAACCTACTGATACTTATATCTGAATTTACTATGTATGAATTGGAATACAGACGATTATTAATGCAGGCAACATAAGCCAATGACAACTTAAATAACGAGTGGTGCACTACCCCTTAATATGTGGTTATGAAACAGAATGACTGTTTACCTAGTTAGTGTTTGCTCGACAATACTACCAAATAGCTTTACAGTCAGTGCATTGTGAAGCAATAGTATTGTATGAAAGAACTGAAAATCATTTTGTGGCAAGGATGGTTATCTAGAGGTGCTCGGAATGGGCCAGGATTCGACATACTAGCATAGGCTTTCCTACAAGACAGCCTCCAACAAAGCGAGACTGTCCTGGACCCCTCTATAACAAGAAGCTTGGGAAAGCACCAAAACTGCTTGTGGTGTTTGCCCAGGCAGACTTCAAAGGGATCATGGTGTGAGACCAAAAGTTCTTAAAAGGAAGAAACACACGAGCAGGGCCTACGGGGACTCTATATGTGTTAAACGCATCCGCAACGGGATCAAGCATGTTTTCCTTACTCAGGAGCAGAAAATCATTGAGAGAGTATTAAAGGCACAAGTGCAGAGTCAGAATGCTAAATTAAAAAAAAAAAACCTCTTCTTAAAATTTTGAGCAATTAAAAAAAATGAAAGTTTAAAAAAAAATCATTCTCTGAAAAGTCAGGTTAGTGTCCAAAAATGCTGTGGTATATTATTCATAGTACTTAAGCATTCAGAAAATTTAATGAAAAATATAACTGCTTCTCTTATTAGAGTAACAGTAAATAAGGCCTTTGAAGGGTTAAAGCACTTTTGTTGTTCTTTAAGCACCAATACTCTATAAAACATAAATATTAAAGATGATTTTTCCTGGGTGGTGTGGTGGCTAAGGTGCTGGATCCCATATGACCAACTCTGTGGTTCAAGTCCTGAACCCAGCAGCTTGATAAAAATGTGGGGCACGTGTGTATACATGACCAAAATCCCAGGAGACTGAAGGACCTGGGATTGCAGTGTGGCCACCCCCCAGGAGGGTGATTTCTCACTTTTTCTCTGTCTGTCTCCCTATGGCAAGTGCATGAGTCCTATGACAAAAACCTTAAAAAAAAAATTAAAAAGATTTTCTCAAAATACCTGTCTTTTAATTTTGGCTATTATTATCTACAAGTTTATGAAGAGCCCTCTTAAGTCAAGAAACAATGTGGATATACCAATCATCTAGTAAAATACTTCTAGGATAAGTTAAAGCTGAGGTTGAGGGCCTGCTGGGAAGGCCCTCAAGAGAAGCCGGACACCCCTGGCAACGGTGGTTTGAATCCTTGGTCCTGACAGCCTCAAACATGTCAAGCACACAGATGAGTGCTCAGATGTGGAGGACTGGAGAAAACATGGTCCAGGTGTGACCAGGCCCTGTGGAAGATACTTACCTCTCCCTCTCTTACTCTAATGCATACATGATGCGCTCTATCACGGAGAAAAAAAGAATTAAAAAAAAGTTCAGGTTGAATAATTAGACTAGTTTCATGAAAAGCAAAAGAGCATTTTCCTGGTAGGCCCAGTGGAGCATCCTATTATCTCTGCAGTCTGGGATTCTACAGTTTCATTTCCTGGCACCTCCTTGTTCAGTTGGCCACTCCTTAGCCATCCCATCTACAGGATGTGGGCTAGAAGAGAAGATAGAAAACAGCTGCCAAAGAGGGAAGATTATTTTCCAAAATGAATTATTAATATTGTAGGAAATTGGTAACCTATTTCAATCTATTCTTAAATCACACAGTAACTGCAAGATGTTTACTGAATGAGAATCTCTTGAGAAGAACTGCCAAGACATGTAAAGGCACAAGGCGGCCGGAGAACGACAGACTCATCGTAGAGGTTGAGCTCCCCTAATCTCAAATTCCAAGATCCAAAATGCCCCAAACCCCAGACTTTTGAGCACCCACCTGACACAAGTGGAAAATTCCACACCTGACTTTGTGACAGACTGCAGTCAAAACGTTGTAGTATAAAAATACTATATAAAATTACCCTCAGGCTATGTGTATAAGGTGTATATGAAACATATTTCTTGTTTAGACTTGAATCCCCTCTCCAAGATATCTCACTATCCTTATGAAATATTTCAAAACTAAAAAAAAAAAAAAAACAAATCCAAAACACTTCTGTCACCAGTAATTTTGGATAAGGGTAACCTGACCTGTACTTCTGATGAATGAAATCTGTATTTGCCTGATGTTATTTCCATTCGCAATACTGGAATTACTTCAGAACATTTTCACTACTTCAAAGTATTTTTAAATGTAAAAGGAGTGAATTCCAAAAACTAAATAGCTCATCTCAACCATGTGCATTACATAACGAAATAGAATAAACTGTTTTAGTAGATGGATTGTAACTAAAGAATAAGAGTGTGGACTATGGGCTAGCTGCGTGGTTTTAGACAAGGGACTCAGCCTCAGCCTATCTGTGTCTTGGCTACTTAATCTATAAAATGGAGCTAATCATAGCACTTACTTAAGGCTGCTGTGAGAACTGAAAGAAGTAACATATAAAGTTTTTAGACTGCTTCCTGGCATTTAGTAAGGATGCAATGAATATTAGATTTTTATTTTATTTAAAGTATTAACTTCAAGTTAGATAAATAAAGGGAGTTTTTGTTTAAGATTGCTAAATGGACAAATTATAAACTATTTTAAGAATCTAGGTAACAATCAACCAGTAAATTTTATTTTTCATTTCATACCTTTGAACACATTAATATTAGAACAAACTGACAAACTGACTTTTAATAGACAGACATTAGTGAAACGTAATTTTATTTACTTTCCATATACACACTTTCTCTGATCTTAGCCTCAGTATGAATCATTACTGTATGATACATTTTAAAGGGTATTTCATAGAACTAACAAACCTCTGATATAAATAATTTTATCAGAAATTGTTCTCTACTCATTATCCCCCCAAATCCCAACTATAGTTCATGCCCAGTGAAGTTTTTTTAAAGAATTATTTAACTTTATTTATTCATTTATTTTAATTTGACTAGAGGGAAAGTGAGAAAGCAAGCCACAGGTCTGGGAATTGAATCGTGGCCGGCCATGTGGGAGTGTCTGGCACCTTAACCACCATGCCACTTGCTAGTCCCCATGCCCAGTGAAGTTTTAACAGATTTGTTTTTGAAAATATTGTATGGTAAAAGAACAGACTCAGGATAGAAGAAAAACATAATCATGAATAAAGTTCTTAGAAGTATCAGAACCTCTTATCTCCTTTCATTTCTTACAGCAACCAAAAAAGGGAAAAAAAGACTTTTAGGAAGGGGAAAAAGGAAGTCAGGAATCATATGGAAAATATGAAATCACCAAATTTAATGCCAGTTATTTTACTTAAAGTGATAAGTATGTATATGGTATGGCTACCACCTTAAAACTTTGATTTTGCTAGATAAGCTCGATAATATAATTTTTTGTCATCTAAATTTAAAACTGTGCATCAAAAATGATTAATTTGGGGCCAGCAGGTAGCGCTGTGATTAGGGGTGCTAGACTACCACAGGGCTGACTTATGGTTCGAGTCCCAGACCTGGCGGCTTACTTCCTTACCATCTCTCACTCTCTCTCATTCTGTTCCTCTCTGGTCAAATTAAAATAAATTAAATTAGATAATTCTTAAAGATAAAAGTCAAGTGATTCCTTTGAATAAATGTAATGCTTAAATTGCATATATACTTATTTTTCCAAGGTGTATTATCATATTTGTTTTGGTCAAAGGTATATATCTGTTGTGTATCTTTATGTATGTATGTGCATATGTGTGTGTACCTAAGTTTATGCCTCTTAAATACATTATAGGATATGGATTATATAAAGTGCCATGATTAAGTAACTTTTAAGACCAAATCCTGGCAACTATATAAAAATTTACATATTTCCTTAAGAAATAAAACTATATGAAATACAGATTTCCACAACCTCCATAATGTAAACTCAATTGTACCTGATTAGTAATCTAAATGAGCAATTTCAGTCATGCAAATCTGGTTATTCATGACTACAAAGAAATCAAAGCTACAGGATACAATAAAAATATATAATACCATAGAAACAGTCTTTTTATTCAAAGGCTAGTATAATAGTTTTCTTAATAAAGAAATATAATTTAAACTACTTCTGAAATTACATAAGATTATTTAAAAGAACTTTAACCTCAAAAAAAATGTGCTTACCATAATATAAAAAATAAAGTGATTAAGACTGTTTCTGAAAATATAATTCTAGTTTTTATAAACAGTGCAACAGATAATTCCAAACACCTCCTTGAATAATGGTATTGACTAACAAGGCAATAAGATAAAAAAACCTGTTATAGTTTAGTACTGAACTTTCAACACTATTAATATTCAAGTCCTTTGAGCTCAAATGCACAATGCTGCAATGTAAATAAAAGGGTTATTTTCTCAGCTACATGTGTGATCCTTTTAATAATTTTAAAAGCACTTTCATTTAAATATCAAGCCATAATTTACAACAAACTAAGTTTCAAATCTCACAACTTATGCTCAATTAACATATGAAAGAAAATATACACTACATTACAACATCAATGTTTCATCAATGTGAAATAGAGTACAAAAGGGGGAAAAATCTTCAAAATGAACCATTTAACCAATGCTATTAATTTTATTAAGAATAATTGTAAAGCTTTATTCACATTTATTGAAAAATATAGAACTTACAAGGGTCAATAAAGGTGAAATAATTGCTACATCATTCATGAACACTCTAAATCCGGTAACATAACAAGCTCAGCTATAAGGGAAAGAAATCTACTAATGAGCGCTCCCCAGTACGGCACATTTATGTTTTCAGCCCTAGCATATTTTCAAACCATCTGGCACTGATGCCTCTGGTTCACCCATCTTAATCTGTTCAGAACTGAATACAAAACTAGAGCTACATGCACTCTGGGGAAACCAAAGAACAGCACACATGTATAATACTGCTCCAAACGTGAAGCATTAAACTAGTTTATACTTGAACTGTATTTTGAAGAATTTCTATTGAAGATGGTAAAGCCCTTTTGAAAACATAAGAATGGCTCAAGAAATATGTATGAATCATAGCTCTCATCAGTTACCCAAGACTTACTTTAATTCTTTCTTTCTCAATTTAATCTTGTTAAATACAGCATTTCAAGAGGTCCTTCCACCAAAAAGATTCATTGATAAACGAAGTGCTATCATTTTTATATTAAAATGTTCCAAAACTGTATGCATATAATCAATCTGCTTAGCCCTAAAATGCTTAGAGGAAGGAAAGAAGAACTCAGAGGAAACGATATTCACCGAAGTCTTTTTTCTTTTACATCTTGTTACCAGCCTTTTTGCCACTGGTAGGACTCACATTTATTTTGCTTAAAATTAGAAATGAGAATTGCTACTTTAGAAATTAAAATCATGTATGGGAATACTAGGCCCAATATCTCTATTAGAACCAACTCCTGTTGGTCCTCACTACTGGCATAAAAACAAGAGACTTTCTGGATAGTTTTCCACATAATTCACACAGCACTACATAATACAAGTTAAAGCTTTTAGACAAAGACACAATGACCAATGCGAACAGATCTAAAGGTGGACTGATACACGTACGTACTTATGTATACACACACAGACACACACACACACACACCCACACACACACACACCCCACCCCACCCAACGAAGAGCCTCTATTCCTGGAGGGAAGCTTCCTCTTTCTTCCTAACCCTGAACCCAATCTTGTGATTTTCCCCTTTTCGGCTATATCCACCTCCAGAAGAATCGCTTCTTCCTTTTAAGTTACATGGAATCCCAACGTAATCACATCACCAATCCATCAGCCTTTCTTTCCTTACACCTTGCTCTCAAAGATGAGTTCTTCTCATCATTTTTCAAATAAAAAAAAGAGTAAGATAACAGCAGGCTGTGACATTCCCGCTCTGCCCAATCCCTTCCCTATATTCCTCTTCTATCGCCCCCATTCCTCTTTCCTAATCCCCCAGTCCCGAGTATCTACCACCGACGCCTTTCCAAAAGCTCGATGGCTCATTAACATACACTAAGAATATCAAACGAAGAGTTTTCCTTCCTGGGGTTTGCTCTTCCCTGTTAGGCACGGAGGGAGAGGTGGAGCACACGTACGGAAACAAAGAGTTTCAGGTCCCTTTACCTCTGCAACTTTGGTGTAAATATCTAGGAAAGGACGTCTGCCAGAGCCCTCCTTTCCGGCCCCTGGACCCCATTCCTTTCAAAATCCCTTTCCAGCCTTTCACGGTCCTCAAGAAATTAGGAAATCGTTCCCGACAGGCCCGGAGCCTGGAGTATTCCCCTGGGTCAGCCCCACCACCACTCCGAAAGGGATAAAGAATATTTCCATCCTTTTTGATTAAGTTCTCCCTAATTCCCAGGGCTTCCTCAAAATCGTAATACAGTTCCCAAGGACTCAATTCTGAGTCTTCCTCGAAACGAGGGGCACGGCCTGGCCCTGAAATGGGCGCACAAGCGTCCGCAAACTGGGGCTGTAGCCTTCCCTCGAAGGGCTTCCCAGGGCTCTAACCCCAAAGCCAGTGCGCTCAGCTCCAGCAGGAGGATCTCTTACTCAGGAAGACTGTCCCCACGAGGTGGCCACACGCCCCCGAGGCCAGCGCTCCTGACCGCCCCAGGACTACCCCCCAGGGCTGGGGTCCTCCAGCCGTGCGGCGCCCTCCCCAGGGAGACCCAGTCTGCGAACTCCCCTCAACCGTCCCAAGTTTCCCATCCCATGTAAAGCCGGGGGCCTGGGACTTTCCCTCCCGATCCCCCCGCCCCCAAGCGCCAGAAACCCCGAGAGCGCGGAGGCGGCTGTGGGTCTGTCCCTCCGCGGCGACTCCGCAGGCC